AAATGTAAATGCATATTACGAAGTGAAAGAAGCCAATCTGAACATTCTACATACCATATGAATCCAATTAGGAGACATTCTGGAAAGGGTAAAACTATAAAGATAATGAAAAGATCAGTGGTTACTGGGAGAGAGGGTAGGGTGAGGAAGGAATGAATATGTAGCACAGAAGTTTTTAGGGCTGTGAAAATTTTTTGTATGATACTTTAATGGTAGTTACATGTCATTATACATTTGTCCTAACCCATAGAATATACAGCACCAAGAGTGAACGCTAATGTAAACTATTGACTCTAGGTCATAATGAAGTGTCAATGCAGGTTCACCAGTTGTAACAAATGTTCCGCTCTGTTGCAGGATGTTGATAATTAAGAGTATGCACGTGTTGCAGAAGAAGACACATGGGAAATCTCTGTGCTGCTTTCCCAATTTTGCTGTGAACCAAAATTATACTTTAAAAATTATTTAAAACAACAACAACAACAACAACAAAAACAGCAACACAAAGAAAATGGCTGCTTGATGACCAAACTCATCGTCCCTTGGCCCCAGATCGCCCAAAGGCCAACTGCACACCTGGATGCTGGGCTCCATCAGATCCTGCTGTGCTCTTACGTAAAATTCCTGATATCAAAGCCAGCTTCAGCCATAAAACAGTTTCTGAGACAATTGCTCAAAAGCAGAATTTCCTGTATATTAATCTCAGACTTGAGTTGAGCCAGTTCCTTTCCTGATACTATTAAAAAAGACTGACAGTAACTATCAAGCTGCTGTCTGTTTGTTCTTATCCCACTTGCCCGCATCGTTTAGGGTGACATATAGCAACTGGGGTAAAGGGGCTTGAAGAGCATAAGGCTGGTACTTTTTTTCTTTCATTTTATTTCTATTCCATGTTCTTGCAAACCACTAAAATCCAAGGTACTTTGGTATCTACTTTTCTAAAATATACAATGCAAGTGGACCAGGTCAACTACAAATTTCAATTTAATTCAATAAACATTAACCAAGCACATGCTACATGGCTAAGCAGTATGCTACTGCTTATCAAAATGATGGCTATAAACATAATCCAGTGCACAGAACTTTAATCATATTATTTAGTAGAAAAGCCACATGCACATGAAATTTGAAAACACACATACAATATATATAAGGAGTCAAATATAAGGCACTTAATATTTATTGCAGTTAAGTGCCATGGCAGACAATGCATTTGCTCCAGTTGGGTATCACTGATTACATTTCAGATCTTTATAAATAAACCAATTATTCTTTGAGTTTAAATAGCTTCAAATGTGTAAGAACTGTCAGCTCTCTTGGCCAGTGAACTCTTCCTAGGAAGGCTCTGTGCTTTGTTTTGCAACCCTCAGAACCAAAACAAGGCTGGAGTTATTTAGTATACACGATTGACTGAGGGTTAGGACAATGAAACGGAAAAATATTACAGTGTTCTAGAGTCTTTCTTATGCTCCTAGGGTATTTAAACTCTTGATTTTGTTATTTTCACACACACTGTGAATCAGATACTACAAATATCAATATTAAAATGTATTTATGAGACTATCAGGCCCAGTGAGGTGGCTGACACCTGTCAGCCCAAAACTTTGAGGGGCCGAAGTGAGAGGAATACCTGTACCCAGGAGTTTGAGACCAACCTGGGCAACACTGTAGACTCCTCTACACAAAATATTGCACTACAGGTGGCACATGCCTGTAGTCTCAGCTACTCAGCAGGCTGAGGTGGGAGGACTGCATGAGCTTGGGAGGTTGGGGCTACAGTGAGCCGTATTGTGCCACTGTACTCTAACCTAGGTGACAGAGCAATACTGTGTATCAAAAAAGAAAAGAAAACCAAAACCAAAAACAAACGCAAAAAAGAGAGAGAGAATATCAACTATTTTATTCTAACTGACATCTGAATTTATAAAAATCATTTTCAGTCATTCAGAATGATAAAAAGTCAAGCCAAATAGAACATGCAATTTAAAAGATTTAAAAGATTTACAGTACATCCGAAATTATTCATCATCCATTTATTTACAAGTGACTAAAATATATCCTTGACCAATAATATTAAGTGTTTAGTTATGACCCTGAAACAAATTAGTTTTTCAAAAAACAGCAAAAAAAATATTTTAATAAAATGATTTGGGGACTATCCTTGTAAAAGCCACCCTAAGGGCAAACATTATTTGTTTATTTAATCTAATTTTGCCAGGGATTTGCATTCCCTGGGAGGTTGTTCCAAATCCTTTAAGTTGTACCCAGGTCCCCATCCTAATACCATCTATCTTGCAATATCCAGCAGGTGAAATGAACCTCTAATTATTTTACTGACAAAAATCAGGAAACTCAACAAGGTTTCCCCAACATCTGCACCTTTGTCTTATCTAATAGCCTGTTTTTCGATCTCAGAAGAAGATAAGCCTCTTCTGTTTCTCATTCATTCTCCCTTTACTTCTAGGAGGTGAGGCTGGCCTGCCGTACCAACCATTCGCTCTCTTCTGATGCTTTCCATTTTGCCTTTGAATATTGTGTTCCATAAAACAAGTGAACGAATTAAACTTCGTAAGACACTTGCCTTTATGTTTACATATTTTTAAACAATTTACCCTCTCTTCTCCACTTTTTCACATTTTTTGGCATAAGCAGCTTCTTTTTCTCTTGAAGACTTGCTTCTTTCACAGGGCCTCCTAACCCCACCCCATCTGGAAACAACCAAGGTGTTCCCTGCTGTTCTGAGTATGGCAAGCTAGCTGCTACCAACGCATGGGCTGGCTGCCGCTTTGAAAGCCTTCTGACCACATTGCCACTTCTGAGACCTGTGACCGCCCCCCCTCCGACACCATTCCTCAAATTGCCTTGTTCCTCTGTTGACTTTTTCAAAATGCTCCTCACTGTTCTCTCCAAGTTCAGCCCCTCTTCATTCCGATGCTCCCACCACACCAGTCATGGTCCTCAAGCCCAACTAGGATTGGGTTCCTTCATTGCCCAGAAGACTTTTAGGCCTCTCTTGTGTCTGCTGCTAAACTAATCCCTCTCTAGCCAGCCACTTGGGCTCTTCACACAATGGCTGTCATCCCTCTGCAACACCTTTCCACACCCTGTAATCAAGTCAGCTGCAACTCGTTTCTACCCATTTCTTTGGACATTCCAATCTCCTTGTCTAGAATTTTTCCTTACCCTCAGGAGAGGCCGATCAGAATCTACCAGAACTTAAAAGACCAAATCATCGCTACTGGTTTGCTAGTCCAGAGCTTTTGTCTGAAGCTCCAGAAGCTTCTGATAAATGAATATCAGGGCATTTATCCTGGCCTTGGATTCCCTTCCTTCACCAGGTTGTAGGTTCTTTGAAGGAGGCAGCTAAGGAAGTTGACATAGAAGAATGAACAGAGTCAGATGAATTTAGATTCAAATCCCGCTATTACTGTCTCTGTGGTCACTGGTCCCAGGCAGGTTACTTAACTGTTTTTAATCACCTGTTTCCCCAAATGGAAGAGTGAAGTAACAACGTGTCATAGAACTGTGGTGAAAATTACATGAGATAGGAAATAAACATCTGGAATCCAAACATACTTATAAATTTTTGTTTTTTGTTCTGTTTTGAGATGGAGTCTTACTCCGTCACCCAGGCTGGAGTGCAGTGGTACAATTGCTCACTGTAACCTCCACCTCCCAGGCTCAAACAATTTGACTGCCTCAGTCTCCCGAGTAGCTGGGTCTACAGTCATGCACCAACATGCCTGCCTAATGTTTGTGTTTTTAGTAGAGACAGGGTTGCACCATTTTGGCCAGGCTGGTCTTGAACTCCTGACTTCCACCTGCCTGGGCCTCCCAAAGTGCTGGGATTACAGGCATTAGCCACCGTGCCTGGTCATGGGTTCATATTACTCAATTTAGGTTGGAGTTGCCTATGGTAACCAAGCATCCTTTTTTCTTTACTTTTTTTTTGCAGAATAGGCTACATAGAATATAAATGAAAACACTTGAAAATTTCACGTTTATTCTTATTTTTCTCTGGGGAAGCAAAAAAACGAACTGTTAACACAAATTATTCTTCCCTGAAATGAAGATGGAAGGAGAGACAGAAAAAGGGAGAGAGAAAGGAAAAGAGGGGACAAGTGAGAAAAGGAGGTTGGTGGGGAGGAGGGAGAGAGATATTTAATGTTTTTATATGAGAGAAATGGAATGTTATTCAACTGGAAATAGAGAAGTGCTTCCAAAACACTGCATTTATAAAGCCCAGTTCCTCCAGATTTCAAAAACATTACCAACACAGGTCAGCCTGCAAAGCAAATAAATGTTTTCCGTTTGTTTCCCAATTCTATCCCTTCAGCTTTCTGAAGTAACCTGCACATAAATGACTGTAGATGAGCCTTAAGCAACTGTTTGTCTATTTTCTTAACATGGCTTGGCCAGAAGTTGTGAACATTGGCTTGGAAGACCTGGTTTAGCAGTGACCATCAAAACACTTCACAACTTTGCACTGGGCATACACTTTGCTGAGTAGGGCAGTAAGCAAAATTGGCCTTTGGCTCACTGCAAAAAAAAGCTATCCTAAATAACCACAGTAAAAGGAAGTGGGGAGGTTCTGTTCTCATCAAGTAAGTGAAGCTGGCTAAAATGTATCATTTGCTAAGCCTCTCACCATCAAAATAGCAACTACATATGTGAGAAAAATATCCCAGGTCCTATCTTCTACAGGTTACCGACTGAGTTCCCTTTTGAGGATGCTGAAGACATTCCCCAAAAGAAATCTGCATTACTTTTAATCTGCTATAGAGCATGGCTTTGCATCGGTCATCCTAAGAAATTCTAAGAACGTCAAAACGTATTAATCCCTAGTGAACTGGATCTCTATAACATACTCATTCCAAGTGTTTTGGCAAAGTAGCCCTATATCACTAGCTTAATTGGTGGCAGGTTATTTTCCAGCTGTCAAATAATCTTTTCCTATTAAGGAGTCAGAAGGAAAAACATTCACTCATAAAGAAATTGAATAACTTGGAACATGAACAATATAAGTATTTATTTGAAAAACATTTTCCATTTAAGTAAAATGGCAAATTAGCTAGAGTAGCTTCTTACTGCTAATTCTATTTGCACTCACACTTTTATTCATCATATTCAAAGACATTGCTACCAAAAAGTGATTTCACAAAGTATTTAGAAAAAATATATACAGTCTCTCTAATAGAAAGTTAATTAAAACAACAAAGCTAGGCAATATCAAGCGAAGATATGAAACCAATTGACATGTATAAACACAAATAAATAAATATGTACAAAAGAATCTATGCCGACAATAGACAAAATCTTTACAAAGCAAGTGAATGGTAACAAGAATGGAAAATATCTCAGGATCCTAGACTACGACTCTAACACAATATAGTTTAAAAAGAGAGAAAAAGAAAAGAAAACATAAGGGAAAGAGAGTCTGAATTGATGCTATCCTCAAAGGTAGGTTGAACTAAATTCAGCCTCCCCAGCTAAATTCCTGACCCTCTGTTCTGATGGGGCCTAAATGGAGATGAGAACTGAATGCTTAGAACTGATGATAGAATTTGGCTCAATCTTTCAAATCCATGTTTTCCTTGAGCAATTTCTTAATTTTTTCTCATCTGGTTATTGGAAATTTCTAAAGTGGAGCTGACACTGTCAAATATGAAAAAAAAAATATTTTTCTGGAGCCATATGAATATCAGTGGAAATCAAAAGCAAAGCCATTTCTGAAGGTATGTCTTAATTGCTATTGACCAAATAAGCACTTTGGGCAGAAATCTGACTAATCTAATTAGTTGAAATCTACTACGAATGCCTAAGGTTTGGGGGGAAATGTATATGAATGTTCAATGACTTAGATTAGTTTTCATCCATATATAACCACTGCCAAAATAAGCAGTCTGTTAATATATGCCTATTGAAAAGGATTTGGCTCTACTGTAGTGAATCTCAGTGACCTTAAATTTACTATTCTTTTCTACTGAATACAACCTTCCCCTGTGAAAGCAAAGCTGGGTAATGCTCATGTCTCCCAGGATGGTGTTGCAGGATGTTGCAAAATGGAACAGTAACAAAAATCCCACTGCCTCATTATCTCATCATCTGCTGGAGCCAGGCAAATAGCTTCATGATTGAAGCTCGGCAAAAGGTGAGCAGTCTCTTGGGTTGCTGTGTAGCCTAAAAGCTCTCCCATGTCTCATACTGCAAAACGTTTTTTTGTGTGCAGAGAAAAAGGCCTCTAGGTTCCAGGTTCTAGACTTTGCCTTTAAGCAGACTGGCTTTGACAGAATGTCTCCTTTTCTTTTTTTTTTTTAATTGCATTTTAGGTTTTGGGGTACATGTGAAGAACATGCAAGATTGTTGCATAGGTACACACCAGAATGTCTCCTTTTCTTATCACATCTGCTGTTGCCTCCCAGAACCTGATACTTTCCAGATAACTCAGAACAAATGTGAAAAAGCACAGCATGCACTGAGACTGATTTCTAAGAAACCGCATAGGACTCTGTCACCTAAGAACAATTACAATGTGGTCTCCTACACATTCATTAGCAAGCAGGCATCACTCAGAATAGTCTGAGAGTTAGGCAAGCTGAAAAATAGTATGCATGGCTTCTATGCATCAGTCTGATCCATAAATAATACACCATCTATCTTGCCAGACCTCCTCAGGCTCTTACATACTATAATCAGAGGACTGACACACAAGCAATATTTAGACTAGCTATTGCAGACCCAGCTGTTTATAAATTATTTGTATTATTATAAGTCACCATGTGTCTCACTTCATATTCCTTGGAACAAAACTCTCAATAGGGGAAAGAAGAGGTTTTCATTTGTGCAATAGGAAATATCTTAAAGTCTCTAAAGCAAGGATAGAGCCAGAGAGTCTCAGTTGTGTGTCTCCTAAAAGGAAAATTCCACTGCATACAGCATGGCTAATGGAAATTCTCCTTCCTCCCACAAGCCTATGGGCTTAATATACAGTAGGGAGCCAAAATTAGAGGTGTAATGGATTCATTCTTAAACAACTCCTGGGAGGTCCACATTGATGGAGCATCGATACTAAACTTGACTTGAATGTATGGGATTAAATTATACTTAAAGCTTTGGCCTTATGCCTTGAATAGAATGAGTAAAATATTAGAAATGTATATAGCCTCATCTAGGTCAATATTTTGGAAAAACTTTCTTAAGCATGTTATGGTTCTGAAGGTGTAATATTTAAAATAAAAAAGAATCCTTTTTAATCTTTGGGTCAAGCAGTAAACAGTCTTTTCTGCCTGTGGTTGAAATGTCACTGCAAATGAGAACATGGTACTGCATTTACAGAAAGAAACACTGGAATGGAATTTGTGGGCATCCAAAGTAGTTACATTTTTTATTGTTGAGAAAGAAGATGCAGAAAATGGTACATCCCAATGTAAATATTAGGTGGAGTAAAATGAGTTCTATCTAGGGTCTGTCCTCAGTGTGGCTTCTCCCTTGCCTCTATTTTAATGTCTCCCTTGCATTGTGATTATTCTGATTCAATTACATATTTAGAAAATCATAGCTTCTGGGCTACTGAGTCACATTGCTCTCACTCTCTGTACTGAAGTTTTAGTGTTGATGACAACTCTTCCATGGAATAAATATATTAAAAAGAAAAATTACGAATTTCATAAAAGCCTTCTTAACAAAATACATTCCTCATATATATGCAGTTATCTAGGTAATAGCACATTTACATCGATAGTTGCAGCTTTCACTGATTGCAAATCTTCACATTTCTGCAGACTGATTTCTTTTTCTTCCATTAAAGACATTAAAACTTAGTGCTGTGGCTGAAGGTGTCTGACATGATAATATTTTTATAGAAGTTATCTGAATGAGCATTACAATAACCCTTGACCTTATCAATGACCTGATGAACAGGGATGATTGATGTTTGTTCTCTATCAGCATGGGCCAGTTTTGACAAGGACTTGTCCATGGAAGTATTGTCTGCAAGAAATGATACAAGAAATTAGGTTCAAGATGAGCTGTTGAGATGCCTACAGGCCACTATACTGTACACTCTGTTTTGCACATTAAAGAAGAACAAAAGAAAATAAAGCTCTGATTCTATCTTAGATTAGGTAATAGGCAACATTAAATTTCCATGTTTTTTTTCTTCTAAGTACGCTCCTGATAATCACTAAATGTCAACTTGCCTTCTAGTAATTTGTACTGTGGCTTACTATAAGAAATATTCTTGAATATGGCAGAGCCAATGAAAAAATAATTGGACAACCACTTCAAAAATATATGCACTATATACAAGACTACATAATAAAGGAATTAAAATGTGCTGAAATACTTGTGGAAGAAATGATATGATATCTAAGATATGATTTCAAATAATACAGGAAGGGAAAATGGGTGGGGTGTATAACTGGCTGTAAGTTGATGGGAACAAGGGGATTCCTAATAGTATCCTCTCTACTTTTTATATATGTTTGACACTTTTCACAATAAAAATTTTATAAAATTAAAGGATTTTGGAGAATAAAAGCAAATGAAAATAAATATGAAAGGCTACTTTGAACATGTTTTCCCATGGTTTTGGGATAAACAATTGGAATATAGCAAAAAGGGCACTTTTTATGAATTATTCTTTTAATTATAGCATTCAAAGTTATTACCAGAAAGATTTTAATAAAAAATGATTTATTTGTATTTTCTTATAGTTTTAGAGTGATGCTATTGCTAACGACACTAATATTAGAACAACTGATTAAGGACTGCTAAATAATTTTTTAATAAAATTTTCAGTATCATATATTTAAATGTTATTTCCCTATACACAAAACTTTGTAAATTTGGCTAAGGTAATGCTCTGAAACTCACTTAAGCTCTATTATCTGTAAACATATACGGTTGTCTTCATGTATCCTACAAATATCTTTTAAGTACCTCCTTCTCCAAATACACTTTAGAAAGAAGTACCTCCTTCTCCAAATACACTGATAAAGAACATATGAACTTTGATAAAGTATTCAGTTTCCTCTGTATCTTCTCTATACATTGTGGAAAAGGCAAAAACTCTATCCTGAAAAACTTTGAGAAATCATGGCTCCAAAATTGAAATCTTCACTTCAAGGCATTTTACAGTTTGAATATGTTGGACTCAGTATGTGACAAAACATTTAAAATCCATCGATAATTGGTAAAAGCCATCACCATCATGATATCTGTTGTCTTTGGAAACTATTCAAATTGCTTGACTGTTATTTTGTGTTGAAGCAGACACTAAATAAAATAAGGGCGAAAAGGGAAATGGGATGCTTAACCCATACTAAAGGATGAAAGAGAGACGAACAGATGGTTCATGGAGAGAACGGGCAAACTGAAGCATGGTGGAACAACTCAAGCATTTTCCAGTGTTGGTGAGGAAAAGGCTCAAGGAGTCATGACAAAAGGCCCCTCCCCATTAGGCTCTCAGCAAGCTGATTGATTCTGAGCTTCCTTTCAGTTCATATATTCACTAGCCATTGGTTTTCTGGTGGGGATTTTTCTATTGACTTATATATCAATACTGAAAAATTTGTGCTTGGTATTTTTAGAAAACTGCATATCCTCAGAGAGAGGTCAAGGATATATTCACTCTGCTTCCTTTGTAACTTCCAGTGGCATGTACTTTTAGAGATTATGAACAGCTTCTTTTCAATGATGTGATCCAATTTAATGGGTCTTCACAGTTTAATAAAGCAAAATTCTGAATGAGGGCTATATTTTTATATGTGCTATTCCCAGTCGTCTGGTTAGATATTACATTATGGTTAATAAAGACTTTGATTATAGTTACAAGTCTGAAAACCAGGGGCTAGGGATATGAACTATTATTTGACCTATGCTGAAATTTCAAGCAGAAAACAATCTTCACAAAGCAGGCTTGGAATTGACAATTTCACTTATATGACTTCTATGAATGTACCATGACATATCCAGCAGTCCATAAGAGCAGTGGAAAAATAAAACATCTCATGTTCTACAACAAATCTTTTCTCAAGTACTGAGTTTTGTTAGTATTTTACATGATGTATGATCCACTGACTCCAGACCATGGTACATTTCCTAGAAGGAGCAGCTAGCAGACAACCCATGCAGAGAAGAGCCAGCACAACACACATTATCATTCGAAATTTCAGAAATTCCAGCTCAATGCAGGAATGTCATTGTGCTAGCTGAAAAGAACAAGCCATTTTGATGATGCAGCAAGAATCTTAGCTTAATCCATGCACATATTCGCTTACTACCTTGCAAAAAATTCATGCATTCAAAAAAGTAATTAAAGTTTACCTGAATGATCCACTTTTGTTGAAGGAATGCTCTTAGGAGACATTATCTATACCATAAACATATGAATATCTAGATCAATTCCAAGAAATGAACCAACTAGATATCCATGATGATATGCAGTGACTTTTTGCATACGCTGAGTGATCCCCAGGATGCTAACTGTCCCACTGAGAACTGGCTGGGTAGCCAAAGCCTATGTGGAAGTCAGTTGACTGTAAACCAGAATTTATTATACCATTGAAGTAATACCATATAACTAACTATATTCTCATCCTAGTTGACAAGAACCCATTTAGCCCAAGTTGTTTTTGTTAAGGGAAACAAGAATATTAATGCATTCTTTAAAAAAACAAAACAAAAGGCTGATTACAGGCTCACACCTGTAATCCCAGCACTTTGGGAGGCTTGAGGCAGGCAAATTGCTTGAGCCCAGGAGTTTGAGCCTAGCCTGGACAAGATCATGAAACCCCATTTCTACAAAAATACAAAAATTAGACAAGTGTGGTGGTGCACACCTGTAGTCCCAGCTACTTGGGAGGCTAAGGTGGGAGGACTGCTTGAACCCAGGAGGTAGAGGCTGCAGTGAGCCTCTATTATGAGTGTGCCACTGCACTCCAGCCTGGGAAACAGAGTGAGACCCTGTCTCAAAATTAAAATAAAATAAAACAAAACAAAATGAAGAACTCACAATTTTTAAAATAGTAAAGTCTGCCTTTGGACCTCCATTTCTGCATATCCTCTTTTATCTATATTCTAGTCAGTTTTCCCCCAAATCCTATAGCCCTTTCTTTCCTTAATATTTCCAAAATGTCTCATGTTCCAAATTATCTGCCTTGTTAGCGTCTTTCCTCTTTTAAGAGTGGCATTTCTTCAGGCCAGCTATTTTCAGTTTAAGAAGAAAGCATTCAATTGCTCTAATTCCTATTTATTTATGACTGACCGATACTGCATTAATGATCTGTATTTTAGAAGGGGAGGCAAAATGAGTATCAAATTTTAAGTTTGGTTCAATAAAGTGAAAAAAAATAATTCATTATAAGCAAAAGATGCTTTGTACCATGGAACCACCAAATAAGTAGAATCTATCTTAGACTATACACCTGTCATCAATTTCATTACACAGGTATTCTTAGGCAGAATGGCACAGACTTCTTGATTTTACGCAAAATTGTGAAGATGATTCAAAATCTGTACCTTTTTCTGGAAGAGAATCAACAGCCTTAATTCAATTCCCCCCAAAATGTCTTAGACTCTAAGATGCTTTAAGAACTGCAGTCCTAAGTTGCTCCAAGTTCTTGGATTTTTAATTAATTTTGGAATTAACAAACTCTCTAACCACTCAAGGCTTTTTCCATGGTACTATCATGAATCCCAGGCAATGGTCACTCCACTGGCAAGACATAGAAGATGGTACAAACGGGGACATGGGATTCGAATGTACAGGAGGGTCATCTGTAATTCAACTATTTGCAATATGAACAATTACAAACACATCACACACCTTACTCCCTGTTTGCAAAAAGCCAAGTATTACTCTTCTCTGTGCCACTCACCTTTGCTCACATTTAATAGCTAAACAAATTAAAAGTTAAAAAGTTATTTCCATTATCCTTTTAGAATTATCTTTAATGAGGAAAGTGCTCTGTTTTAAATGTTGACAGCTGTCTTCCAGGGATTTAATTAGTATTTAAAAGTAGTAATTCTATTATTTCCCTTTGAAAGTATTAAAAGGTTACACATTTTCACATCATTCATTATCAAGTGCTGCAAAATATTACTATTTTTTTTAGATGGGATCTTGCTATGTTGCCCAGGCTGTGGTGCAGTGGCATAATCATAACTCACTGCAGCCTGAATTCCAAGGTGCAAGCAATCTTCCCATCTTAGCTGCCAGAGCAGCTGGGACTCCAGGCATGTGCCATAGTACCTGGCTTAAAATATTCTTTATTTCCATGGTGTCATCAGGACTTTTTACATAAATGTTCAGTGTCAGAATGTGCAGTAATTGCAAATATCATGAAAGAACAGGGTATTAAGAAAGACAATGTTTCTTACAGCCTTGTATCACTTTCCAAATATTATGTTCATTCATATGTAATCAGTGCTTTAAAGAGCAGTTGTTAATAACATTTGCAATGGTTAAGGAATTAGGTCTTAAATAAAATATATGTCCTATGTATTATTTCTTCCTGTTCCCATGACAACTTGTCCAGTAACTATCACAGTCTGCTAAAATAATCTGTAATTCAATTTTTTAATTTTAAAAATAAAGATATAACTTTTTAAACAAAATACCATTATTTAAAGAAAACTAAGTTTTGAATCAAATGATGAAGTTACAATAATATACAGAGTGAATAATATTATGATTATATACCTAGAGTTTGAGTTATAACATTTTTAAAAGGATGAAATATTCATAAAAGTGTTGGATAATGTCTTTGAACAGATTTTTATTTTCATAAATCTAAAAGATGCACGCTCTCAGGCACTGTGATCCATCAATCTTCATGATATGCCAATTTTTGCAATGAAAATGTGACAAGAACTAAACTCAAGGACATCTTTAGACTCACCTGTGTGGCTATTCCTTTTGAAATAGGTGGTAGAGCTGGATTTAGATTTGGACGTAAGATAGGTTGAGTTGGAACCAATGGAGCTTGAAGACAAAGATTTTCCTAGATTATCAGAACTTTTCTTGATGATATTGGTAGCTGTCTTACTCCAATCTGTAAAAAAGTGACATCACTCTATCAATCTGCTTTACAGGAAATATGTTCTGTTCTGAAAAATCATCACTGCATTTTTTATCTGGAGCATCTGACTTTCTGATATGCTGGCAATGGCTAAGAGAAGAGACTGGCATGTAAACAAGAAGAAACTGAAAATTTCTTACTTTGACTTTGTATATGTACTGTTTAAAATCTCACTTTCAATATCCTAAGAGTGAGAAGTAACCACTGATGGTAAAAAGAAAAAGAAAGATAAAGGAGAAGAAAGAAAGACAAAGTGTGGTTTTTTTCAGGTTTTTTTTTTTTTTTTGTTTTTTTTTTTTTTTTGATACTGAGAAAAATCTCTTTGTCTAATAATGTAATTGGGGATCTACAAAATGTGGAAAGGTGAGTCTGGTGTAATGGAAACTCTGGGTATCTGGTTGTTAAATTAGACATCAAACCTTGGGCTACTCATATAACTTGTATGGAATTCATGCTTCCCCTCTGCAGAATAGAAGGGTTGGGCCTAAAGTTCTCAGATCTCTTCCAGTCCTCATGTTCTACAACTCCAACTAGGCATCTTCACATGTGCCACTTCAATAGATTGCTCCCTTTGGGACTGGGTTGCTCTGACAATGAAAGACAGAATGACAAACTTTCCCATCTACTTTTAGATGTAAAATTTAAACAACCCTTTACCTGAGTTATCTGCTAACCGAAATCTACCACAGCAGAGATGCCGCCGCCACTGTTTCTGAACATTCTCCTTCATAGCACAGTGGAAGATGAATATAAATAAGCCTGTGACAAAAGAAAATATAAATATTTAAGCCAACTGACACATCTTTAAAGAGAAATCTTATAAAATACACGAATTCATTTTAATTTTAAATTTTTTACATCTGAATCACTAAGAAACAAAGATCTTAAGGAAATGAATCTCGCAGTATGTAGCAGGCACTTTAATTCTTTAGAAGGGAACACAAAGGCTCTGATAAAACTAGAATAACCACTGGGATCTGATTCTGTCTTTGCCTGTTCCGTTCAGCATTCATTATGACTTAACCTAAAAACCAAGATGAAATAAGCAACATTCAATTTTAGAAGTATTTAATATTTCCCATATATTTGTCCTAAAATTATTATACTTTCCGGACATATTTTCATCAAAGAGAAAATGGAAAACACACATAAGCTCATCATCTGTTTCAATTTGTGTATTCTGAGCTATTTTACGAATGTATATTGTAGTTATACTCATAGTATATTAGCTTGGACCATAGAAAAGTGGTATTTTTGCCATTAAAACATGGCCCCAAATCATCAAAATCATGTGACTCCACCTGGACTGCTTTAGCTTTTCAAGATTTTAACACAGAAATATTTCCATAATGAGAAATAGTCTTCATATTTATAGTCACTTTGTGCCTATCAAAATCTAACTGTGTCATTTGTGTCTTAGAAGCCAATCCCTTTTAACTTTTCATGGCATTTGCTTCTGCATTTTAACGCTCTTGTTGAGGTGTCATCACTTTTTCTCTCTATTCCACTATACTTGGTTATTGCCATTAACTTGCTAATGTACTGTTAAAACACTTTTTAAACAACAAACAAAAAATTCCTCCCTTAACCTCCAATTTTCTTTCAGTTTCAACCTCTTTATTCCCTTTCCCAATAAAATTTCTTGAAATGGTTAACCTTTGCTGTCTCAGCTTTTTCCAACACCTTGTCTTTTCTGCGCACTCCAAACAGACTGCTATCCACATCCACGACCCCACAACGACTGCTCTTATTAAGAATGGTGGCAACTCCCTTGTTGCTGAGTTTCCCATGACCACTTTACTAGACCTTTCAACAGCACTCAACACAAACGGCCCTTCATTCTCAAGGTCATTTTCTATCACTTTTCTTCCTAATTTGCTGGAGATTCCTTCTTGGTCTCTTTAGCAGATTCTTCTGCTTTACTCTAAAAAGATTTACATGCCTGTGACTTGTAATGTTAATCTCTTCTACGGTTACACTGTCACTTTGGGTACTAGCACTTCTAAAATATAAGCACCACATACTGATTTTTATATTTGGTTCTGTTCCTTTCTCTCCTGTACCCCTAAACCAGGATTCCAACACACATTGCTCATAGGACATCTTCAATGGGCAGTACTTCCACCAGGCAGCATCTCACATCCCAGGTATTCTGAAAAGAAGTCCTTGCAATCATGACCCCCAAACCACACACACATCCCTTTATTTCTCAATGTGTCCAGCTCATTCCAGCCCAATACCACACTAAACGCTCTTCTTCCAGATCTTTCCATAACACGTTCCTATCATTCAGGTCTCAGACCAACTGTTAACTCCTCAAAGAGGCCCTCATCAACTGTTATTTATTTTTTAATTTTAACATTTAGTTACTCCCTTTCACATACCTATTTGTTTCACAGCACTTCTCAGTACCTACCATTCTTGTATTCCTCATTTATTCATTTATTCCTTTGCTTGATTGTCTCTTCCTAGGAGATAATATGCTCCAAGAAAACAGGGATATTTGTATATTCAATACTGTGCTGGCTGTTCCAAGAACTAAGTAGGAACTTGACAAATGTTTATTGATGGAATGAATGGTAAACAAGATCAATCAATCATGTAGTCTATATGAGTTAACTGAATGCTTACATGTACACGCTAATGTGTTAAAAATGTGCTTGGAGATGGGAGGTTAAAAATAGGAGTGAACCGTCAAATTAAGAGGTAATAGGAGTGAAATGAAAATACAGTTAAGGGAAAAGTTTCTGAAAAGCATGCAAGTAAGTTGCTGAGGTTGTGTCCCGGTAAAATACTAAGCAGTATATCTATATAAGTGAGGGGTTTTTAGGGGATCTAGGGCTTGAACTGAACCTTAAGTTCAGTAGGGCAGTGAGGGAAGTTTCCAGGAAGGGTAACTGATTCGGTGACTATATTAAGCACTGCTAAGCATGAGGCACTGAGTTTTAGGAGTTGGAGATTCAAAGGTGAACAAGGTAGACAATCCTTGTATTCATGGGGCAAAGGGTCTAGTATGGAATGGCACAAAACTTATGACAGTCCCTTTAAGGGACCATTAAAAGTTATATGTTCCTTTTGAATATGGAGTATTCATTAAGAAAACTACATTGTAGCTTGTACAATGGAAAAAGTAGAAAAAAAATCTTAATAGTACTCTTTTTATATGTGTTTAGTTAAATTTGCAAAAGATATCTAAGGTTATGCTTACACGCTTTTTTTTTTTTTTTTTTTTTTTTAGTATAAAGATTCAAAGTGGCCCTTAATTTTCAGAATAAATTACAAATGTTAATATGGAAAAGGAGCTTGCTTAATTTCTACAGGATGGGTCGTGACCACAGTAAAATGATTCTAGGTTGATTCTCCTTTGGTTTTGGCAGCTTGTTGTTTGGTGATTAGCAAGCCCTGAGCACAAGCCCTGATAATTAATAGGTGCTTTCTATAAATTTCTATTTAAATTCCTAAAGAATCATTATATATTTTGACTTGCAGAAGAATGCCACTATGAAAGTACTGACTATATTTGGTCATTGATTTCAAATGGATGATCAGCTCTTGTAAAAATTTCTGGGAAATTCAAATATGTTGATCTCTGAGAAGTATATATAAGGCATGCAATGACCTAACTAATACTGTATTGCATTTATATTACTATGTCACTTGATATTAATATATGGTTATATACATATTTACATAAATGTTATTACTATATAATTTATTACTAATACTTTATTGGTAATGAACTAATTTGTAAAGGAAATAAATCCTAGTGATCTATTTATTTGAAATGTTATATCAGAGTAGAGGAGTTCCTTTTTTTTTTCTTAAGAGACTGGGTCTTGCTGTGTTTCCCAGGCTGGAGTATAGTGGTGCAACTGTAGCTCACTGCAGCCTTGAACTCCTGGGCTCAAGCAATTCTCCTGCCTCAGCTTCTCAAGTAGCTAGGACAACAGGCATGTGCTACCACACCTAACTAATGTTTTGTAGAGATGAGGGTCTCGCTATGTTGCTCAGGCTGGTTTAGAATGCCTGGCCTCAAACAATTCTCCTGCCTCAGCCTCCCAAAGCACAGGCATGAGCCACTGTGACGGGCTGGGAAGTTCTAATTTAACAAAAGAAAAGCTCTAATAAATATGATGAATAAATTTCAATTATTTAGAAAGCAAACAAGCACCTCCTGAAAGTCCCTGTGCTCCACGTTGGGGAGGAAGAGTTGGAGAGGGCACGGGCTACACACTGGCCTGGACTATGCTAGGGCATGACAAGTCTCAGAGTAAGGACAGATTTTTCCTCCATCCCTCAGAGCAGGCTCTGCAGGCTGATCCTCCTTCCCAGGAAGTAGGGAGTGGATATCATTCAGTTAGCATTTCATCCTCACACTCTACATGACTAAATCTCATTGCTTTTCAAAGCCTTTCCATACCTACCACATTCCCTAACCAGGTTGCCAATACAATAAATCCTTTCAATAGCACTTTGAATAAACAAAAGTATATACCTAATTTGAATGGGTTACTAGATCCTTTTAAGTTTTGAAGAGGGAGGCGGCAGTCACAGAGTAGAGCGGATTGAAGGAAGCCTGAAGTAAGGTCAATAGAGGCTACAGATGAAGGAGGCTGCAGACTGGAGGAGGAAGTCCACAGTGTCTCAGCTTACTCATTTTCCTTTAACGGGGTCAGATTTCCAGAATTTTTTCTTGGAGGTATTTTTGTCACACAGCTAGAAATATAGGTAACTGCGTATTCTTAAACAATTGTTTAACAGGGTCACATTTTAGAGCCGGAGGGGATTATAAACTTAAATGAAGGTCTTTTGTTCCTAGGCATTAATCCAGACATGATTATAGGGCCTCACATTGTGCAAATGATTAATAGTTGCGGGTAGAAGTAAAAATTGCTGAATGTTACTTCCCTTAATATACTACTACTCCTTTGTAAAACTTAGTAGTTTCTCTGTATGTTATACATCCTGGAAAAAAAAATTCAGAGGCTGTGTCTGGTGTTTTGAGAACATCAGAAAAATACTAGATCACAGATTCAGGTTTTTAGCCTTGTTGGGGTACTAAAATGTGAATTATTTTGAGAATCAGATGCTGACCACAGTCAGAAAGGATGAGGTTAATAAAGGATGACTTAATAAAACAGTTTTTTAGATTGTAGAGTGCTGCCTTACATCATATTATATAACATTAAATAACATTGTCTATTTTTAAGTAACCATTGTGGTCTGTAAATGCTCAGGCACTCAATAAGTTTTAGAAACACTGGAGAGGAGAAATCATTTAAATGCTCTACCTTCTACTATGAATTGTGATGTTATGGAATAAAATAGATAATAAGCACAATAAATTTGAATTCTTAGGAATATGTTTTAAATTCTAAGCTATTGCATTTATAATATAAATATGATCAAACCTGTAGTCTTGAGATACATTTCTATTTAAAATATCTATTTAAAATAGAAATATTTAAATATCTATTATAAAATAGAAATATGCATTTCTATTTTAAATAGGATTCTCATAATACATTATTTTACTATTTGATGTAACTAGCCCTTTTCCTATGAACTTAAGTTAGTCTGGTAATAAACATTATACCAAAATTCCTTCAGGACAAAATACCCCTTTTAGAGTTCAGAAGTGGGCAGTGTGGCAGGTATCCCCATCTGTAACACTGCACACAAGCAATATGGAAAGAAATCATGAACACTTCAGGAAGGAGCAGTAGAAAATGATGCCAGAGAGATCTAAGGGCCTTTGG